GAAATTATCTGTAGCCTAATTTTATATTGCTCTGTGAGTCCCGCTTGGTTGACAGCGAGCATAAATCATAAACCCCACAGAAACATAGTATTTTATATGCAGTTTGCATCCATGAGACACTGGTAGAAACGCCTGGCACAAGATACAAGGCGCTGGAAAACAAGGCCTAAGAGAGCCATACGTGGTGAAGTAGATTTCGTACGTACTACGTGAAAACCTCAAATATTTCATCACTAAGTAAATTTATTATCAGTAGTTAGTACTATTTTACAGATCAGAAAAAATAAAGCTGATTAACTGCCTCCTCTGTTATCACACAAGTCAGTAACGGAAAAAGGGAATAAAAACTGACATCTGAACTTCCACCGCCCCTCTTTACCACCACCTAGTTTACCTAGCTTCTTTTAGACCTCTCCTTAAGATTTTTTTTAATCGGTTGCGTTTGCTAAACCGAAAGACGCAGGTAAAGGGCCTGCCCCTGCGCAGTCTCACGAGGCAGAAAACTACGTGGTAAGTCAGCTCCCCGAGAAGATGTTTTGCTGAATCTCGTAAGGGGCGCAGAGGAGTCTCCGGGGATAGGACGGCAAGCTACAAGAATGCAGCTCTTGTTGGTTCTTGCAGTCATTTGCATGTGCTGGTGGGAGGAAGTTCAAATTAACCTAAATTCCTAACTCTGAGTTGCGCTCTGGGCGTAAATCAGAGTGGGGGTTACCTCCCAATGGGACTGGTGAATCCCAGGTGAGCAAAAGCAAGCTATGCTACTACTACGGTGCGCTGTGGTTTAGATGCACGATTAAAATGGTTACAAAATGTATCAGAGGCATAACAATTAATGGCATCAGAGCATATAAAAACACAGGGAAGCAAGGATCACTGACCTGCAGAATCTATAGATCCAGCAGAGTTCAAGCTGGGTTCTCAGCTGACCTCAAGGAATTTAGCATCTCACTGAAATGGAGTAGGAGATGAACGCCTGTTCATTTTTGACCGTCTCCTTCTGCAGGTCTCCTGGTACATGACCTATCAAGTAATGCTTTCTTTCCATTTTTGTTTCCTCCGTTCTTTCCTTTTTCTCCCAATCTCTTGCACCCCCTTTTGTTCAATCCTCTTTCTTCCTTTTGTTTTATTCTCCTGGAACTTAATCAAAACTACAAAAAATATGCACTAAAAATGCTTTCACCATACTTCCGTTCTCCCCAAATTTCGAAGCTTTATTTAGTCTCACAGCAGAACGGATGTCGTAACAGTTTTGCTTAACATAAGTGGTAAAATTCCTTGCAATAACTAACCAACTAGCGATCTCGTTTCACAAGCGAGCTCTCTTTGGGGGTGACTGAGTAACGAACTACTCGGTGCTGGGACAGGCTGGGAGCGTTAAGAGGGCTTTCCCCTCTTGCCTCAGGCGCGTGCCTCCTAGGCTCCTCTAGTCTACTGGACACAGTGAATGTGTCCTGGCATTTGTAACTACTAAGATGTGTAGCATTTTTAAGTATTTTGTACTGAGACTAACTACTGCTCGAGCTGCTGAGTGTGCCAGAAGCGCTGTATTTCAGGGGGTTTATATTCTAGTCGGAAGTGATGTTTCCGACTTTTTAAAGTGATCATGAAAAGACATTTTTTCTTTGAACCTTCATTATAGCCATGGGTTATTAGAAGACAAAAGCCGGTATAAAGAATAAGGAAATTATTATTTAATTTCTTTTTTGACTAAAGACAGTGAGAAAGGTCTGGCCTAGTAAGTGGGATGCTTTCTTACTGAAGAGCAAAGTACGAGTTCTCGAAGTAGCAAGTAAATAGTTAAACTTCAGTCAGCGCAGGCTTGCATAAAAGTGTTTACATCCCTCTTAAAGTTTCAGGGCAATAAATGTAGTGTGTGCTATAGTGCTTTCTATCGATAACTGCCATACAGGGTGGCTTAAAACCAGCCTTGGGTCAATGCAGGATTGATGTATAGACCGGGAATAAGCTCACAAAACCAATGCAACACTGCAAAAGGCTTGATGATAGCAGAGAGAGCTTCGCAGACTGGCACGCTACGGAGGCAGAATACAACTCCCTGGAGTGCAGATCTCGGACCCAGGACCAGCCCACGATGTCTCCAGGACTACCAGCACAGCAGGATAGCGATGAACAGAAAAGCGGGTACATTCCCCGCTTGGCTATTTATAAAGGTGCTGTTGTATAACGTGGTGATCTGATATTAACTTCTGCTGCTTCTTAAAGAGGAGGTCCTGCTCTTGCCAACCTACACGCACCTCTTTGCACTGCCGGCTCTGCATTTCCGCCCTCCTCCTTCCCCTTCACTGGTTGCCTTTTACTGTATGGTGAACCAATCCAGGTCACTAATCTGGCAGAAAGGAAATTCAGCAATAAAAAAGAAAAATAGTTTCCCAGCAGATTAGTGACTTGAATCGACTCATTGTGCGATTAGTACCAGAACGTGATCCAGAAAGAGGTGAAGACAGTGCAGCCTGAAGTGGAAGCTCTCTGCTCAGGGGAGCAGGATCCTTTGCTTTGAAGATACCGAGTCTTTAGATTAATACAGCTGTAACGTGTAAGGCCAAGAATAATCGTACTATGGCATCAACTAGAAGGGAATAAATGCTGTTTGCTTGTCTTGCTTTTTCAATGTCGCCCCCCAGTATGACAGGCTGTGTTGTAGCCGTGTGCTCCAGGCAAATATTGGGACTGCCGGTCACTTTATAACCCTCTAATTAAGAACTGTGAGGTACAAGTGGTTTTCTTGGACTATGCAGAATAAGCACACCTCCCCCTCAGCGAGCCGCACGCTCAAAAACTGCACGACCGGCCTCAAAACCTCTACTTTGCCGGAGGAGGTTGCTCCTGGGGGTCTCCATTTTCTCCCATCCCCTTCAGGAAGGGCTCGCTGGCCGCCCACCCCCGCTGCCTCCCGCCCGGTCCCCTGGGCTTGCGAGAACGGGGGAGAGGGGCGGGGTGCTGGGGGTGCTCGGCACG